CCCTTTATCATTATGTAATGTCCTTCTTTGTCTCATTATGGCCTTTGTTTTAAAGTCTGTTTGTCTAATATAAGTATTGTTACCCCAGCTTGTTTTTCATTTCTGTTTGCATGAAATATCTTTTCCCATCTCTTTACTTTTAGTGTGTGTGCATTTTTCATTCTGAGCTGGGTCTCTTGTAGACAGTATACATATGGGTCTTGTTTTCTTATCCATTCAGCTACCCTATGTCTTTGATTGAGCATTTAAGCCGTTTACATTAAAAGGGATTATTGATAGGTACGAATTTACTATCATTTTAGTCTTTATAACTATGTCCCTCCTTCTCTTCCTCCTCCTCCTTCTTCTTCCCCTTCTCCTTTCTAAAGAAGAACGTTTAACATTTCTCATAATACTTGTTTGGTGGTAATGACTCCTTTAGCTTTCTCTTGTCTTGGAAGCTCTTTATTTTTCCTTCAATTTTAAATGTCAGCCATGCTGGATAGAGTAGTTTTGGTTATAGATCCTCACTTTTCATCACTTTGAATATTTCATGTCAATCCCTTCTGGCCTGGAATGTTTCTTTTGAGAAATCACCTAATAGTTTTATGGGCACTCCCTTGTAGGTAACTGTCTTTCTCTTGCTGCTTTGAAGATTCTCTCTTTGTCATTAACATTTGCAATTTTAATTATGATGTGTCTTAGTGTGGGCCTCTTTGTGTTCATCTTCCTGGACTTATGTTTGGGACTCTGCACTTCCTGGACTTATGTGTCTTTTCCCTTCACCAAGTTGTTGAAGTTTTCAGCCATTATTTAAATACATTCCCAATACCTTGCTATTTCTCTTCTTCTTCTGGCGTCACTAATATGCAGATGTTATGCTTCATATTGTCCCAAAGGTCCCTTAAACTATCCTCATCTTTTAAATTCCTTTTTCTTTTTTGATGCTCTGATTTGGTGTTTTTTCTAATTTGTCTTCCAAATCACTGATTCGATCCTCTGCTTCATCCAAACTACTTTTTATTCCTTCCAGTGTATTCTTGATATCAAATATGGTCGTCTTCCTTTCTGACTGGTTCTTTGTCATGGTTTCTATGTCCTTTGTCATGCTGTCAACATCTCAATAGTTCCTTGAGCATCCTTGTAACTATTTTTTTCTAACTCTTTATTTGAAAAATTGCTTGTCTCTATTTCATTTAGCTCTTTTTCTGGAGATCTATTCTGTTTTTTCATTTGGGGCATGTTTCTTTGTCTTCCATTTTGGCTGCCTCTTTGTGTTTCTATATATTATTAAGTAGATCTGCTATGTCTCCCAGACTTGCTAGGGTGGCTTTATGTAGTAGGTGTCCTGTGGCACGTAGTGGTGCAGTCTCCTTTGTCACCTGAGTTGGGTGCTCCAGGAATCTCTCTTGTGTCAGTTATGTGGGCCCTCCTGTTGTAACTGAGCCTTGATTGCTATTGGCCCATTTGTGTGTGGGGTTGACTCTCAGAATGGCTCACTGTGAGGACCAACTCTGACCCCAGTATACGAGTTCCTATGCAGGTACTGACCACACAAAGCAGGGTCTGGTTCCTGTTCAGATCTCCCTTTGTATATGTTACTGTGAAGCTCTTTAGAACCTGCTCTGATATTATCTGAAGCTGGTCACTGGGTATGTTTGTTTTGGGGCTTCTTGGGAGGGACTCTTGTGCAGGTCAATATCAGATGCTGCCTGTGCCTGGCTCTGGGAAACATGTTTGGAGCTACAAAGCAATCCACAGTTTATGGTTGCCTCTTCTGGGCCTTGGTATGAATGGAAAAGACCAAGCTGTACACCAAGGCTGGCTCCCATCAGTACCGAGTCCTGGGACAGTGGAGCAAAAGGCCCAAGACATCCTGAGATTTGCCTCTGCCTGCCTCAGTTTCCTGCTGCCTGTTAGACTCAGTAACTGAAAGAGCCTCGGGCAGTACTCACGTTGCATGAGGTAGATTCTCAGTGAGTCACCAGGTAGTGGCGAGTGGTATTCACCAGACTGATACAGGCTCAAATTCAGTGCCAGTGCTTGGTCTAAAGCCACTCTGCAAAAGTTCCTGGATATATGACGTCTAGCTATCACCTGCCAGGTACCTGCAGGCCTTTGTGGTAGGACAGGGTCTCGGGGAGTTGTAATGGTGAGTCCAGCAGAGTTTATCAGGCCCAAATAGACTGAGATTTAGTTGTGTGAAAGGAAGGCTCTACACGGGTCGGGTGTGTAAAGAAAAACTGGACCCCTTCCTAGAGGCACACTGCTCAGTCTGTCCCAGATTCCATCAGGAGCTGGAGTTCAGCAGGGCTGGGAGTCAGGAGGGTGAGGCAAGTAAGGCTTGAAGGAAGATGGGGGGAGTGTCCCTGTTCCACAGACACACAACTCAGTCACTGACTCCTTAGCCAGGGTGTGAGCTCCCCAGGGTAGGGAATGGGGAGTCCTTAGAATTAGGTTATTGCTTCCTCAGGCTGATTCCTTAAGGAAGGGAGTGCTCCACCCACACTCCTCAGGGGAACTTTTGCAGCTGAGACATCTCTCCAGAATCTCAGCTGCCTCCTATGGGGCTGGGGCTAGCCCATCTCACCTCTCCACCCTTCCTACCAGTCTCAATGTGGCTTCTTTTGTAAGTCCTCAGTTATAAGGCTTCTGTTCAGCTAGTCTTCAGTTGGTAATTCAAACGGATTGTTCTATATTTTATTTTTAAATCCAGTTTGGTCCTGGGAGGAGGTGAGTGTAAGATCTGCCTACTCCACTGCCATCTTGGATTCCCCCTAAGATTTTTCATTGATGTCCCCCATCTGGGCTATGCACCTGTGTTGGCAATTGCCTGATGTGGTTTGTTTTAATATCATAATGTTACCTTAAAATAACATGATTAAAAGTGAATTCAATATCTCACTCTTCACAGTGACTCTTTTCCAACTGTCTGGTTTGCTGAGGTCATCATATCCTACTCATTTAGGCTTAAAGCTTAGAGAGCTCTTTGACTAATTCCTCTCATCTTCCCTCTTCGTAAGTTATTTTTCACCTACTCTGCTGCTGTCTTTGATCTCCCCAGATACTTCTTCTCAGTCTCTTCTGCTGGCTCCTTCTCTGTATTTGGACTTCACTGTTAACAAACCTTGATACCGGCTCCCTTCTCTTTTTACTCCATGCTCTCTCGTTTTGTGGCTTTGTCTATTGCCATGTTTCAAATGCTACCTATATGTCAAAGATTCCCAAATTGACATCTGTAGCCCATACATCTCTTCTGAGCCCATCATGTATTCAATAAAAACATGAAATGCCCATTTGCCTATCTCACAAGCATCTCAAATTTAACATGTTCATACTTACCCTTTAATTTCATTCCATTTTTATGTTTGTGATTGGCACCTCCATCCCTCAGGTGTTCAAACCAGAAATTTGAGAGTCATTCTTGACCCTCCCTCTTCTTCACTGTCCCCACATCCAACTCATTAGTCCAGAAACCTTAAAGTAATTCTTGACACGTCCTGCTTCCTTATTCTCTTCCAAATCAATGCAACAGCCAGTCTTGCCAATTTTAACATAAAGCACAGCATGTATCTTTTCAATTCTTTCTATTTTTACAACCATCACCCTAGTTTTTGATAGAAGAAGGCTAACAGGTAAAAAAGTAATTTGTGAAATGGAATTTTAGTGAAAACCCTACTAGGCAAAATTTTGAGGATTTCTTTGTAGTATTAGTTTGCACAGATTCACTACATTCATCTTCTGTAGCTTTGTCAGTCCAACTGAACTGAATGTCAGTAAACTTCTGTTTCCCATGTTGGATGCTTCTGTCTGCTCGTCTCCCTTTCCTCACCTTTGCCTTTGAATGCGTCCTTCTCTACCCTTGGGGTTCAATAGATTTGATAAATTAGCCACTTGGAAAATTTAAAACTCAGCTAAGTGATCATTAGGGGAGATGATTTTTTGACAAATTGATCATTTGGTAATTAATTTCTGGGAATTTAGAGCAGGAAATGGAGTTTTGGCCTGCTGACCTAGAGGCTGTTGGGGCTGTTTTCACCTTTGCCTCGACTGAATCATTGCACCTCTAATTGATCTTCCCACATTCATTCTAGGGCCCTTCCCACCAACCAGATCCACTCCCCAAACAGCAGTCTCAGTGACCTCTTACAAATAAAACCCAAGTGGAAAGCATGCCGATAGCTTTCACTACATTCAGAATGAATCCAAAAGTGGCTAGCGAGGCTAGGCTGACCTGCCCCTGTTCACCTCACTCCGAGAACACTGCCTTTCTGTTAATTCTTCAAACCATCTCCCAACACCCAGATCTTTTCCTGCCAAGTGCCTTCACACTGGTTATTCCTTCTGCCAGAAATGTATTTCCTCTCATTCCTTACTGCTTCCCACTCATCCTTCAGGTCTCAGTTCAGAGCTCATTTCTTTACACAGGTTTTGTGATTTACTTACTTAAATTACATCTCCCTGTGATTGTCTCACAGTACCCTGTAACTTCCTTCATAGTGTTTAACACCATTTGTAATTAAAAATGTATATGTGCTTTTGATTCAGGTCTCTCTCCTGGATTGGGAGTTAGTTCCATGAGGACAGGGAGAGATAAACAGATGCTTGACAAATAAGTGTGAACAGATTAATAAATTAATGACATGTTCTTAAATTCTTATATCACATATGAAATCACACAAATATAGAGGAATTATTTAGTAATTAGAATATGAACAGTCAAGAACCTTAATGATGACAACCCCAACAGCATTTCACAGAGTGACTGATTAACCCAGCCAGTTCCTAACTGTACTGATTTGCAAAACAATATCACCCTATTCTACTACTAGTAGCCCTGGGGCTTTTTAAGGGTTACATTTTTCTGAAGAATTCTTTTAGACAGATAAAGGTTACTAGAATGATATAAAAACTATAAATTTGCAATCATGATGAAATTAAACAGAAAAAAGGTCAAGTAATTGTTTGAGGAGATGGTAGTAAGAGAAACAAACAAAAATAAGTAAATATATTCTACTGACCTTGAGGAAGCTGAAGCACCCCTGTGCTTATGCCTGAGACCAAGTCACCCAACACATACTCCTTGAATTTGTATGCAGGCAACCACTTAGTTATTGGTAAGAACATATAAATGATATTTCTTATTTTCTTAGGAGTACATCTGGGAGGACAAAGAAAGACAGAGACAAAAATAGGGAAAATTTTTATAGAAATCAAACCAAGGCATCTTCCCTTCCTTCTTTCCTGGAATAATAAGGAAAACATTCACCACTGGTGCTGAGGATAACCTTTTCACTCTGCAGAGATCAGAGACAAGAAGCTGCTTCTTGCAACTCTTGTTGTTGGGAACAAGATATCTAAATTGGCTCCATAATAATGCTCTACAACTGATCATGAAAAATAAGAAAAATTCAACTACAGCATAATTGATATATTTTTAGAAACATTCTCTTTTTAAAATATATTTTAATTCATTTTTAGAGAGAGAGAAAGGGGGAGAGAGAAAGAAAAACATCAATGTGAGAGAGAAGCATCAATATGAGAGAGAAACATCCATCAGCTGCCTCCTACACACACCCCCGCCAGGGATTGAACCTGCAACCTGGGTATGTGCTCTGACCAGGAATCAAACGTATGATCTTTTAGTGCATGGGACAGCGTTCAACCAACTGAGCCACAATGGCCAGGGCAGAAGCTGTTATTTTAATAGATGAAATCCTTACTGTACTTTCTGTGTTGGTATAAAAGCAAAGTAGGAGAATTGGTTACTGATTGAGTTAATTTTTGAATGTGGAACCACTGACAGGCATATCTGCTCATTAGTTTTCCCCTTCCTTATAAAATGAAGGAGACTTACACAGGTGTTTTGAGCTTTATTAACACGTATATATTGCTTTAGGGTCTTTGATTAGGTAAACTCAAAACACTATTTGTCACTGGAGTGTAATCGCTGAGTCATTATGTCTGATTGTCTTGGTTAAGTGAAACATCAAGCTGATAAAACCAAGGCGTTGCATTTAATCCCTACTTTGTTCAATTAATTTTGATATACACACCATGTTCTGGGCGTTGGCCATCCTTTTGCCAGACTACACCAGTAATCAAAGACATTACTAAGAGTATGGGCAGATGAGTTCTATTGCCACTATGAAAGCTGTAAGTCCTCCTGGTGACAAGGAAGCAATTTATTCCATTCAAAATATAATTATTACAGCATGCATGGTGTTCTATATAGTGTTTTTAGGGGGTAAGAGTATTTGATGATTAAATAAAGGAAAATATTAGAAGCAAAATGTGAGGCAACTGTGGGAAGAGCAATGAATTTGAGTGAAACAAACTAGATTTGATATCTTGTTTAGAAAATTGAGATATTAATAATAGCTACACTTATATAGTGTTTGTCATATACTTAACCCCCAGTAACTCTGTGATGTAAGTACTACTATTATCCTCATTTTACAAAGCAGGAAAATCAAGCACCCAGCTGGTAGGTGCTTGGGAGTAGAATTAAAGCTCAGACAGTCTGACTCCAGTGCATATATTTTTCACCTCTCTTGATGATTATACCTTGAGCACAGGGCAACTGTGAAGCATAAATGAACACAGAAGGTGTGGTCTCAAGGGATCAGGAGTTAGTAACCAAAAGGTTTGGTTTTGAAGTTTGGGAGCTATCAATAGGCATGCATGTATTAACATTCCCAGGCCTGCCACATGGCTGTGTATGTGTCTCCAAAATAAAGAATCATAGCACACGGAGGGTTCTTGACAGTGTAGGTTGGGGACTTAGATTCATGGTGTTGTCAAATGGGGTAGAAGTCAAGGGTAGAAGAAAAGATAATGGTTGGAGCATTCTGGGAGACAAAGGGAAGAGATGATATTTTGAATGTGGTAGAGAATTGGAAAGCGGGTTATTCATATAAACCTCTGTGCAGCCCTGGCTGGTTTGGCTCAGCAGTTGGAGCGTTGGCCTGCGGACCAGAGAGTCCTGGGTTCGGTCCCCACTAGGGGCACGTACCAAAAACAAACAAACAAAAAAACCTCTGTGCATACATTCTCAAGGCACAGTAGGAATTTAGTAAGCATGGTGAAATACATAACGAAGCTCGTGCTCAATCAAATATCTATCACTGACAACCCTATGGACAGTTCTGCAAATCACGGGTGCTCAGCATTCTTTTTTTTCTCCATTTCACCAGATTTTCCTTATATATTTGACCTTGCTTCTTTCATAACTAAATGACAGAATAAAGCAAACAGGTTAAAACACAACTTACGTGAATGCCTGTTTCAGCTTATCCCCAATGGAATCTGGAATCTTGTCTTTCTTGTGCAGTCTTTCCTGGAGGGCCAGATGACTGAAGATAGGCCTTTCCACATAGTACCTCTGGGTTGCTGCAAGGATTTCATTTTCTTCAGCATGATCCATAGTACTCTGAAATTATTCATCAACAGCAGGAGACAAGCATTTCCTGAATGTCACTAGGGAGAAAATAAAAACTCTATTTCAGATGCCAAAATCCAACTGACGACTGTCTTTAAGCATTTCTTCCTTGAGGTATTCTAAGTTCTTCTGAAGACTACTTCATCTTTGGATACCCCAAAACACCAAACACAGTGATTATAGTAGGCACTAATAAATGAAATCAAATGAATAAAAATCAACCCTCTCAGGGTAATAAGTGGGTAATGTGTGTACTTCTAATAAAGCTTGTATGAAATTCAATGGCTAACTATTGTGGTCAGTTGCCTCTAGCTCCATATTAGGGGAATTGTGAATTAAGCCAACTCTGACCATTTATATGTCAAGGAAACAGAAAAAGGGGCAAGATCAGTTCTTAAACAGACCCCAAGATTTTAAACGTATATTAGCCTCTTTTCCAATTTTGTATTCACATTTGATTACACCTTAAATCAACATGGTTCACAGCTGAGGCTTATATGTCTGGTGACTTCTGTGAAAAGCTATAAGTTTAAAACATCAATGCAATATTATAATATTGCTTTAAAGTTGATTATGTTGACATGTGTAAGACTATTAGGATGGTTGATAATTTTTTTTTTGTTATATGGTAAATACTACTTATATGAGTAAAATAAATGACTAAGGAATAAAAACCCAATATGTTTGTACTCATGGAAATGTGTATGAGAATGTTTACTACAGTTTTATGATTGTAAAAATTTGGAGAAAACCCAAATGTCTATCTCTATGCAATAAAAATATATTTTATTATGGTCATAAGTTGAATGCTATGTAGTAGTTAAAACAGATGAACTAAATCTATGTGTCACCATCAAATATCTCAAAAACTTAATTTTCAATAAAAATGCAAGGCATAGATGAATACTTTGAGGATTCAGTATTCAAAAATTAAAAATTTATGAAGCAATAATATAGTTGTTTATATACACATGTAAGTAGCAAATGTATATAAGCATGCATGACAATGATAAACATTAAGATTAGGATAGTGCTACCTTTGGAGATAAGAGGAATGAGGCTTGGAAGAGATAGGGAGCTTTAACTAACTGCACTTGCAACCTTTCAATTTATAAAAAATGAATTGGCACAAACAGAGCTAAATATTAAAATCTGATTAAGGTGTGTGGTATGTAAATTGGTGTTTGTTACATGGTTCTGTGTATTTGTCTGTATATTTGAACTACATACCCTATAATAAAATAAGTGCACAACAACAACTAAACCAGTGTTACCCACTGCAGCATATAAACAGCAGAGAAATTGGGGGTTAGCGTGAATTAACACTTGGGTGCCTATGTGGTGACCACAGGAGTGTGGGGGTTTCCAATATTGGTTAATACAATTCCCTTAAAATTACATTCACAATGAAATCTGGCTCATGTGACCAATCACAGAACATCATGCAAAAATAAATGCTTAGGTTCAAAGTGGTTGAAAATTCAAGAGCCTAAAATAAAATAAAAATTCTAGCAGCAAATGCAGGCAAGTACCAATAAGGATGATATGAAAAGATTAGTCTGGAGAAAGGATTTTTGCAGCAGAATCTGACAAATAAAGATTGTATGTTTTTTGTTTTAGGCTAGCAAAGCTGGTTGGCCATCTCACACCTAACTTTTTATGGCCACTCTAGGAACATCATACTATCCAAGGATAACTGGGCTGAGGTGTGAGTGGAGTTTGACACATGGCAACACTATCACTCTACCTTCTACCTGCCCCCAGCTCCTCCAAAACATTACACAACAGGGTTGTGGAGCCGTTTGTAATTCGGGAAATCTACCAAGCCTAGAGTTCCATTCACTCTAAGAAATGCCGTTTCTTTCCTGTCACTGTCCTTCCATTCTCCCCACACTTATCATTGTATCTTTCAAAAGCCTGGTTTTGTGCTCAGCTTCTCTGAAGTCTCCCCTCACCTCGAATTCCCCATAGATGTGTCCTGTTGCAAAAACTCAGTTTTACCAATGATTTTACTGTTACCACACGTTTACTGTTGTCAGTGGGATGAGTTGTGATGACCATTGTCTAAGGATGTTGTATGAGTTACAATGCAGTGGTGACCAAACCTGGCCACTCACTACAATGGTTTGGGGAAAGGTTTAAGGTGCTGGTGTCGGGGCCTCATTCTGACTCTCCTGAATGAGGACTTCCATGGCTGCAGCCAGACAGTGGCCATCCTCTCCACTGCGTGTGGCCTTTTCAGAAGATTTCAGAGCAACAGAATAGGTTTACATTGTAGTATGAACAAAGTAAATATACATACTAGATAGTATAGCAGAGGAAATAAAATATTTCTAAAACATTAGATATCCTTATCCTTATTTTCCAAAGTCCCTTGGCACCCCAACAGGAATTCCTCATTTATACCCATTATTCTGAAGGCCATTTGTCAACCCCTCATTTCTTTTCCTCCACCTAGAACCTCTCAAAATTCCTGTGACTTCATTAAGCAGGGCAATTAGATGTATGTTTTGAAAGTTCCCTAGGAAATTCGGATGATCAGCTAGGTAGATATTTGACATATAGAAATACTGGTTTTCAACTCTGCCTGAATCCAGAATCTTTTAAAAAACGACAGTGCCTGGGCTCTACACCAGATCAATTAGAGCAGAGCTTTTAGCAATGGATATCAGAATTTTTTTAGCCCAGCCAGTGCGGCTCAGTGGTTGAGCATCAACCCATGCACCAAGTTGTCACCAGTTCAATTCCTGGTCAGGGCACATGCCCAGGTTGTGGGCCAAATCCCCAGTGCAGGGCATGCAGGAGGCGGCCAATCTATGTTTCTATCTCTCTCTCTCTCTCTCTCTCTCTCCTTCTCCCTTCCTTTCTCTCTAAAAATCAATAAAGAAAAAAATTTTTTAAAAAGCAAAAAAACCCCCAGCATCCTAAGATGATTTTAATGAACAGAGTTAAGAACCACTTGTTTATAATCTGAGACAGAAAAACACACATAAAAAAGACATAAGAAAATCACAAAGGAACATTTGAAAACAAAAGCCAATGATACAGTTTTAGAAAATTAATAATAAATCAGTGACATGATTAGAGCCAGATGAAATCCTTTTCAAAAAGTGATCTCCATAATATATGATGTGTTATAATTTAACATAAATATAGTAAGGTTTAATGTAATATGTTTACTGAAATGTGCACAAAATAAATTTGTGAAGAGGAATTTGAAATATAAGGGCATGATTTAGCAGTAAAAACGGTTCTTTGAATTTGACATTTTCATTTAGGGAATTGGTTCTCGGCCCTGGCTGCACTTTGGAGTCACCTGGGCAGTGCTCACCACTACTGATGCCTGAGTACAGCCAGGGATCCTGATTTAACTGGTCTGGGAGGCAGGCAGGGATCGAGAGTGCAAAAGCTCTCCAGGTGACCCTAACGTGCAGCCAAGATTCAAAACCACTGACTCAGCACATGGCACAATAAAAACCCATCTACCCATCTATCCAACCAAACAAAAAGAAAAAACTGACTAGGGTGTAAATAAATTGTGTGCAATGCTTTATATCACTGTCTTTGCTTATCTGTGTATTTGAAATATATAATAAAAAACTGCAAAAGAGAAAAATACCTAACTTAGGTTTCTCAAGCAAAGTCTTATTTCTACTCTTCTGTCTTCACAACAAATGGGTTGTGTAGGTGGGCCATGAAACATCCACTACACTTCATGCAAATGCAGTCTTAGTTGTTACAAGCACATCATTCAGGGTTTAAATTAGGAGCAAATCTCTAAGAAATTTAGATTTCAAAACATTAGATGGACTTAGGAAAGCATTAGGGTACGTACTCTCTGTAGGCTTATCAATTGAAATATAGAATGTCCAGTGAAATTTGAAAGTCAGTAAGCAACAAATAATATTTTTAGTATAAATATATTCCAAATCTTTCATGAGGTATGGTTATATTAAATTTTTATTCTTTATCTCAACTTTATCTGGATCGCTTATATTTTTCTTTGCTAAATCAGGCAACTGTAACTCTGTAGGTTAGGAAGAGGAAGAGAAAGGGTAAAGAGGGGATTCCAAATCTTTTTGAAGTGCTGGGACCCTGGCCATAGTCTGTGTCCTCCTTGAGATAACTGCTTGGCAGTTTAGAGATGTCTTAAGTGGGAAAAGAAAGGACTGCTGGGAGGGATAAGGACTGGAAAGGCGAAGAGCATATTATAAAGAAAGGCTGGCCTTTTGGGGAACTTTTTAAAACTCGTTAGCAACAATTAAATAATTAAAGCCTTGAAGGCTATCAATAACCACCTTATCAGAATAAGAGAGGCAAAGTAACCCAGGGACCAATACAAGATCAAATGACCAGACTCTTATCTGACAAATAATAATCTTCCAGAGGCTGATTGAAATTATAAATCACCAAGATATAAAACAAACCCTCACATGAGAAAAGTCACTTCTGAGATGGCTCAAAGGGAGGAATCTTCTGGTAGGTCCCCCAACAACAATACTAATGACTGAAAAGCAAATTGACCTAGACTCTAGGTCCTAGAGGTTTAAGCCCTACTTTCCACAGTTATAAAAGAAGAGATGTAAAAATAGTTTAGACCATCTTTTATCACAGATTTCTAGATCTAAAAGTAATCTTGGAGATGAACCAATTTAACTCCTTCGCTTTGTAGGTGAGAAAATGAACTCACTTGCACTTGCTTGGGGATAAATGGCTTACCCAGAAATATTCTCAAAATGCAAAACTTGTTTTCTATTCAAAATAGTCATCAAATTTAAAAGGCACATATATTTATAAGTAAAATGTATAACAATATAAAAATAGTCATGTAAAGTACAGCATAGGGAATACAGTCAATAACATTGTAATAACTATGTATGGTGCCAAATGGGTACTAGACTTATCGGGGTGATCACTCCCTATGGTATACAAATGTGTAATCACTTGTACACCCGAAATTAATGTAATTTTGTATATCAACTCTAATTAAAAAATCAAAACTATTATAACAAAACAGCAACATTTTTAATTTCAAACT